TCCTTTTTTCCAGGAGAAGGGCCTAAGAAGGGTACTAAATATCTGAAGAAAACTATAACCTGTTTCAAATTAACTGATTCTTTATTATCTGATCATATTCAGTTGAATAGAATTCACAATTTTGTCTCTTCTTTATTTGCCTTAGACATGTGAAGTACTAACCTGATCAATGAATGTAACTTATTTTATTAGTTACTTCGATTGTTATTGGCTACTACAAATGAAGAAGGGAAAAGACAAGACAGGCCTGCATAATCAGACATTTGAATTCAGCGTTCTGAAAAATCCTCTTACTTCTGTGCTGCACAGCACCATGAACTCATAAAACACTAAAAAATCCAGTATAGCATGCAACAGCTGTACTGCATAATTACTTGGCCCAATAGCAGTAGTTTTAAAATACTGGTATGTCTGTTGCAGGCCACCATACATTATCATCGCATTTTCAATAAAAAGTCTGGGATGTTTCAGATGAGCTTCAATGGAATTAGAATCATGTGTGCTTTGAAATATTTATGCTTGCCTTGAGATGGAAGGATAATTCCTGCCTCCAACCCCCACACACAAATAGCAGATTTAATAATGCCAGGTAGTCCAGCTCCTCCATACCTACAGCAGGTAGAAATGAAGTTCTGATCTGGAATACACATATTTTCATAGGTTGTAGAACTTATATTTTATGTCATTTAGTGAGGTCAATAATAAAATATAAATGTCACAGGCTGAAAGACGCCAAGAGAAATATGGTTTGGCAGCACGGAGCTGCTTAGGGATACATAAATAATAAGTCAATAAGTAAATAAATAATAGACAAAGACCTGTTTTATCTTCCATTTGAAGATCTCAAAGAATTTACAGTCACTGACTGAGACTTGTAACATCCCATCAGAAGCACATAAGTAGTAATAGCCCCTTCTTATACACTGGAAAACTTGCATCACTCTAGGCATGGGTTTCAGAAGCAATGACTTAATAGTTTTTATTAAGCATTTCTGAAAATCATGACTGGAGGGGCTTTTCCATGGTCACCTGCCCCTTTTAGAGGCAAACAGGGAAAATAGCAACCTGCTCCACTACCTCATGTCCTTGAACTGATTCAAAATGTTTGTAAAGATCCATATATTTGGAAACACGGTTGTGTTCTGCACTCAGAACTTATTTGAAAGGTCATTTTTGCATACGCCAGAGTTGGTGACCACAACACAGCTATCAGAGTGATGGTCTGTATCTGGGCCAGCAGTTTTTAGTCTTTAGCATTTGCTTCCCTCTCTTTAGTATAAGACAGGCACACCTGTGATGTTGATCAGTTTAATAGTAGTGGATTCTGATTCTCCCTCTTATCAAACAGCCCGCCCTTTTGCCACTTGAGAAATTTGGTATTTCCCAGTCAGAAACTGCAAAAACCTTTTGGAGATCCTTATCCCATTTGTTACTTCTTATGCCACTTCATCTACTCTGAGAAAATGAACACTACATATCAGTATATGGCACGGACTGAGGACTGATGCCTATTCGGTCTTGCTTCTTTCCCATGATCAGCAGAAAGCCCTTCAAGTCTGTGCTGAGAAGTTGGCCAAGACTCTGACGAGGAACCACTTTCTTCTTTTTGCAGCACTTTACCTTCCTGAATTATTGTTGATCGTTTCTGCATTCATTTTTCTTCCCTCTCTCTTTGGGAAAATCACTGACAAATGCTTTCCACTTTGTTTTCTACTTTGACATGCTGAGGAGGTCAAGGCAACAGACAAAGACCCACTGCTTACATGCCTAGGAGTATTTCTAATAACCATAACATGTCTTTCATATAGCAAATCAAATTATTAAATGAACAGCCATACCTTGGAAAAGCTAAATACAGCGTGGTCTCAGGCCTAGCTCTGAGTTTCCACATGTTCCCTGGGTACAATTTTTTATTCCTTCTTGTTTGATTGAAATAGCATTTCTATCTCCTTTTTACGCAGCAGAAGAAAAGGAATGAATTTGTTCCCAGATGTGTACAAAGGATAGTGCAGTTGCATAACAGTTTCAAATAGTATTAACAGAGCTGGTGCTAAAATGAATGTTTTTTTATAAATGTTAAAAAAATCCCCATCTATTTGTTACTTAACTAGATGTTTGCCACATAAATTTTCATTTCTCGGTTTTATCTTCATCCTTCATCTTCCATTTGGCATACTAGGAAAAGGGGAACTATAAAAGGAGATACGAAGGAAGAGGGGAAGAATATGTTTTATATCAAAAAAATGACAGAAATGTTGTATGCTAATGAAAACTTTGTTGTAGTCATCAAAATGCTTACCACTAATTTTTGTTGAATGAGTATTTGTGGCAAAATATTTTGACAAGCTCTGAAATGACTGTTGCTTCCGGGAGAAGGTGATGAAACCTGTAAAGTGGCGATGACGTGTCATTAAAGCAGTTACACCTCAGGGGTTGGAATAAGTGAGATCAGAGGCTGACACTTTGGGTGGAATTCATCTAACTGAAGGTGCGTGCGTAGACTGGTGGTGTCTACCTTGGAGCTAGTACCAGTGGGCTCCCTTCACATCCACTGGTGAGCCAGTCAGTGTGGTCAATGAAGTCTAGTCAAAGGCAGTGGTCTGGTTTTGGATGAGAGGAACAGCTCCTTAGGCACCATTAATTCTGTTTAGTTCTCCATTGATGTTAAGATAATTAGCTCCATGGTAGACACCCACATTTACTGAGGTGAATCCCACATTATCTCTATCTTTAACAGCACACTTCAAAGTCGCAGCCTCTCACAGGAGTTTGGGGACAGGAAAATAGTCTTCATTTCTTCCTTTGAGGATTTGGGTTCTTTGGGTTTTCAAATATACTATAATTTAAGATGCAAACTCAGAACAAAACTATTTGTCTTAAAAGTGAATGAGAAATCATTAACTAGGTTTGCAAAAAACAAGAGAGAAGCCCAGATGTGCAGACAGGTTGAACAGGCCGGGCACACAGGTGTTTGCCTTGGCCATGGAATAACTGTCAACATTTCCATAACAAGGAGTGTGGGATATGCTGCTGCTTGTTTCCTTTTCCCAAGTGCAGCATTGCAGAGCTAGCATGGCTGTGGGAAGACGCTGTTTTCCAGTTCAGCCCACGTGCCACAATACCTAGCTGTTGTAAGATAGGTATAGCCCATGCTTTCAGAAGAGTTTCACTGGATATACATCTGCTTTGATCAGAGATAGTTGAAGGTTGCATGCTACCTTTTGGTTCCTCATCTCCATACTTCCTTTCAGTGGTGTTTTCCCATATGGTACCACACATTTAGTATGATTTCTCTTCCTGTTGTGAATACTTTAAATAGTATTAAGGGGAGCAGACCAGGAAGACTTGTGGGGTTAACAAGGATACAGGGGAGCTTTTCATGGTGAGGATGAAAGCTTCATATTCGTCCCATATCAGCATCTCAAGCAGGAGTGCAGCTCTTTTTGATGGTGGTGTCAAAGCAATCATTCCTATCCAGTTGTGGAGAAAGAAGTACACAGAAGTGCTGCCCAGCCAAACCTTAATGAATGTTTATAGGATAATGCAGTAGGTTTCCTTGCTGCTGTGTCTGAGTGCATGTTTTATCCACACCTTCAGGCTCTAAGTTTGCTAATGGTTTAGTAATGCTTAAGAAAAAAATTAATAATAAAGTGTCATATTATTAAACTGGCGATGAACAAGACTAAGAAGCAGATTTTAGCTTTTATTTAACTGAGGGGTTTTCATAACATTCGTCATGAAATGAGTGTTTGCTCATTTGTATTTGATTTTAGTTAACTTTCCTGCATCTCTCCAATTTTTCATAAAGTGCCAAAGGCTTTTTTTCCACTCTTGTATATTTAACTCACTTCAAAGCCAACACATGAGTTTCTGTAGGATATTACCTCCCTTGCATAGCCTTTATCTAATCGGTTATGTGTGGTGTACAAGTGCAGTATATGCACGTAGACACCCTTGAAAGATTACTAGGATAGCATGCCAAGGGAGCAACAGGGATTTAAGGATGACTGTTTGGTGAGAAATAAACTATGATTTACAGATGAGCTTGTGCACAACCAGATTAATTGGCCATTCTAAAGGAAGAGTGAATTCTCATTTTAGAGGGGAAAGGGAGGATTCATAGCAGTATGAGTGGCAGCAGTTGGTTCCTCATGGTGACAACTAACAGTGGAAACTACTGTTAGCTCACAAGGGTCCAACGCAATATATCTTGAAGGCCAAAGAACTGGGCAAAGGTGTCACATAACGTAGGAGAGCACTTGTAGTTCTGCTGAAATCAGCTGAGGGTAAAATCTGTCATTGCCAATGGGCTTGTGTACATTACACCTTTACACCTTCACTGTAGTACATTTTCCAGCTGGCTTGTTGGCCCATAAATTCACGAAATTAAACTTCATCCCTGAATGCAAGCTGGGGGCTTGCTGAAGATTTGAGCCTAACATTATTCAGGAGAAATGTAAATGTAATTTTCAAAACGATCTTGCCACTTCGTGCATGTTCATTAGATGAAAACACGTTACTTAAAATAAATGTTCCTAAACTGAGGTGGAAAAAAAACGCCAACAACAGGAAGTGTTAGACCATCTTTAAATTATCAACCATTTATAGTACAATATAAAATGGATTCATATGTGTAAATCTAAGTTACATGAAATGTCAATTAAATCAACCCTAATCTCCCAAATACATTTTTTATTGCCTGATTGATGAGGACTGCTCTTAAGGTGATGAATAGTTTCCACTTTCACAAAGGACTGCTGATTCTTTTATACGTGCCCACTAAAAATACAGAAAATCCTTCAAAATGTCTGGCTCCGTTTGCTTTCAGGATCTAGATGAAGTGAGCGTAGGACACAATGTGGTCCAATATATTAATTGTGAAGATCAGATGTATAAACAATACTGTACATTTAAAAAAAGACTAAAACTACAGTAGATTTAAACTGTTTTATTTTCCAAAGGCAAAACTCTATATAACTTCTTTGTTTTCTTTCCTATAGCAAGTCCACATGCAACACCATCGACTCTTCATTTTCCAACATCACCCATTATTCAACAGCCTGGGCCATACTTCTCACACCCAGCAATCCGCTATCATCCTCAGGAGACTCTGAAAGAGTTTGTCCAACTTGTCTGCCCCGACGCTGGTCAGCAGGCTGGACAGGTGGGGTTCCTAAATGTAAGGAAGCCGTTTTTATTTCTTCAGAAGTGTTTGTCCTATGTAAAATTAACCATGGGATTATGGGATTATTTTAACAGCATGTTGCACACAGGAACACACCTTGAATAGTCGTTGGAAGACAAAAAAATGCTGCTACTGCAAGAATATTTTAAAAAACAACAAAAAACCTCCCCAAAAAACCACTTGACCACATTGTGGTGAAATTAACTTAAACTGTCAGAGAAGCTGGTGATACAGTGACCTTTTGGGTCCCTCCACAAATGACTTTGCTGCATGCGTTGTAACCTTAGTGGAACTAGGGTTAACAAAATATGAAGGCAGAATAATTTTTATTAATTATTTCTGAAGTTCAGGGGAGAGTGGGGGGGGGAGGAGCAGGAAAAGGGAGGGTGAGAAACAGATGTTTCAGATCAGCTAAGTTCATTAAAAAAAAAAATACTGCCTTATAGCACTTTAGATCAAGTTGACCAGTACTTGAACTCAAGATGTTAAAAGTACAGTTTATTACGGTTTGTTATTTCTGTAAGCAGTTATCTTTTCCCCTTATCTCTATGAAAAATTAAGCAGAGTTCCAAAGCTTCAAATAACCATTTTCATTTTTTTTTAATCAAATAAAGTGAATCATCTTGCTATTATTGAAATAGCATTCCGGTCAAATACAGAATTTATAAATTTTATGTAAATCAAATCTAAAATAATGCTCTGAATATTTCATGAAATGTAATGCATGTAACTTTTTCCAGCCAATGAAGTAATAACTGGCAAAATTACTGTTTCTCTCCTGACATACATACGATTGAAAGTGTTAATGAGAATTAGTTTAATTATTAGCAACTAATTTATTACACTTATTTAATAAGCTATATTGTTCTCAGTGCTTTCCTTTCCCTAGCAGAAAAACTGACTCTACTTACTCCAGCCAGTACTGGCTTTGAATAATGTCTGCAATATGTTAGCAGATACATTTATGTCTAGACAACAAATCAATATAGTGCTTTTCTTTTTCCTTGAGTATTCATTTGCTTAATTTATCCCAAACCATTCAACATTATGAACTGTTAGCACACTCACAATGAACATACAGCAGGGGTCTTCTTGGCAGGAAGGAGACCTAATTGTGAGACAAGATAGTGTTTGAGAGATGTCACTAATATATTAGTTTATTAAAGGTACTGGATGTTGGAAAAATAAATATCCCTGAAGGATTGCTTCTTACTGCAAACACTAGTAACTGCACTCTTTGAAGTCAGTGGGAGTGCTGTTAAGTTAAATGCAGATGAACTTGAGTCTTATTTATGCCCTGAACCATTTGTGCTCTAGCACAAGTGTGATTTGCACCTACACAACTTTAAGGCCTTTTGTCAGTGCCAAAGCAGGTGAAACGAAAATAAGGTCGCAAGCATTTGCCAGTATGAGTATTTTGTCCCCAGTAATTCAGGCTAATGGAAACCCTAACAGGAATTAAAATATTATTTTCTTTAGCAGTACTTAGAATATGGATCCGTGTTTAAAGCTGAGCTTTTATCATCAATGGAAAAGCCAATGCTCAGTGCCAGAAGAACTGCAGTGAGATCAATTTGCAGAGTGCTGTCGAAAGTGATCTCATCATTTTTGTCACTAAAATGGAACACCTGATTCACAGGCTGTCCTACTTTCTCTTTATAATGGTATTTGGCATCTATCTGTATGGTTTTCAAGTGTCCAGGCTGTATTACATTTAAAATGTAAACTTAAGAAGTTGGGGGGAGGGGTGGCATTTTTTTTTAAGCCTGCTTCTTGTTTGTGTGATACTTGAAAACACTTTTGCTTATGGACAGGTTTTTCTGGAGATTAATTGAAAGACCACACTTGTATAGCTGGGCCCGTTCTGCCTGTGACTGACCACACCCCAGACTAAATGGAGGGGTTTTTTTCCTAATGTGTAAAATGAAGCAGTTCTAAGTTCAGTCATTTCTCCATATCATCCTAATGGCAGCTAAACTGTGAGCTACACTATTGCTAACTCAAAAGGGATGCGAGAGAGCAGTTACTTTAATATATACTCATTCATTTTCCTGTAATAAGATATCAGCGCGACTTTTAAGACCACCAAAAATGCTTGTTTTTTCTCTTAATGAGCGGTATCTTTAAGAAATTTACACTCAAGTCCTAGGCACTGATATCCTTAGGGCATAACAGAGGCACGAAACTTGGGGGATTTAAGGGGTCAAAAATACTGCTTCAACTCTTACTGAGCATGAGTTAGCGGCTGCAGGAAATGTAAGGAGTAGTAGAATTTAATCCAGGGCAGTTCAGACCACTTGCTAATAGGACAAATGTTTAAAAGCAAGAATTTCCGTAGTTTCACAAGGTTCACAGGGGTTGAGACAAAGTTCCTTGAAATCAATGGAGAATTTGATGCAGCACTTTCTTTGCCACGTCTCAAGTAATTGTAAATGTATTGCACATAGCTTTCAACTAGATTGTTATTACTGGAGGTTCCTAATAGCTGATTTTTTAGTATAATTTTTGTCTGTTTGCTTGTTTTTCGGCAGCCCAATGGTAGCAGCCAAGGCAAGGTGCACAATCCATTCCTTCCTACCCCAATGTTGCCACCACCACCTCCGCCACCAATGGCTAGGCCTGTGCCTCTGCCAGTGCCAGACACAAAACCTCCAACTACATCAACAGAAGGAGGGGCCACCTCTCCCACTTCTCCAAGTAAGTATAGATGCAGCGGGAACCAAGGGCTAACAGCAGCGCACAAGGTGCTGCGATCACCGTCTGTCGGCTATTCAGAGATGAGGACTGGACTAGCTCTCGGGAAGTAGGAGAGCTCTCCGCTCTGTATATGATGGACAAAATTCTGGGCTGGTTTTACATTAACGAGAAAAGAGTTAGCTTAAGGTTACAGTTTTATTTCTGACTTCGTTGGCATTTCACATAACCATGTATGAGAGAAATCAAGGCCAGTAGCTAAGCTGTGACACAGACCTCGGACCTTTGGTATCTTGTTTACTGTCATGAGGAGGCAAGTTGGTATCTCAAGTCAGGCTTTAGAGGATAGATGCTACATGGAAGTCAGACATATAGCCTCATTGAAAACATTGCTGCTTATACATACTGGGCTAAACTAACAACTCTTGAGTTCACTTCATTTATAGTTCTTTTGGGAATAAGTCTTCCTAGATTAACCCAGACGTCTTTCCCTTATGACTTGGTTCCCGAGCCCTGCATTTTGGGCAAGAAGCTATGGTATTTCTTAGGCCCAGGGAGAAAGCTTTAATCCTCTCTCCACCACCCACACGGCTCCCATATGTATTTTGTGTAGCCACAAGTCAAATATACAAATTCCTGTACACACACTTGGGGATACCACTTTGGACTCACTCTTCTGGGAAACAAATGTGATTCAGATGGGTTTGATGCTTTAAAAAAGTCTGGATGTTCAGGGAGTTAATTGTGAAATGATTTAATGAAGCTATGCTCAAACTGACATTTAAAAACAAAAGGGAAGCTTTCAGTGCTTTAATGGCAACTGTAGGGGACTTGTTCCACAGTGAAGGGAGTCCAAATAACATCCACAAACAAAAATCAATCTAATCGAAAGAGCAAATCCCTTTGTGTGCTTTTCAAGCTTATTATTTAAATGCTATATGCAACCACTGCTTGATGTGCAAAGAGGTATTCGCTATTCACACCATGTGAAGCCTACATTTTTAAAGCTTTATATACTGTTCAGGAGATTTGCACAGGTTCCAGGGGGCATTTTTAAAATCTGGTAGTTCTCAGAGTTTTGCATTGCCTTCTGCTACGCGATAGTGCACAACTGCAAACTCAGCAAGATGCTCTGGCTTGCCTAGAAATTAAAATGGGTTTTAGTATGAGACAGCCTGGTAAGATTGTGAACATGATCTTCTAGAATCAGGACTTCTAGAATTGATCAGCAGATTTTTGTTGAGCTAAGAAGTTGATTCATTCCCTCCCCTCCACTCCTCTTTCTGACCTTAGACCAGCACTTGTGCTATCAGGAAGTTTTGACACTCTCTGATGGGAGATACCGTCTTTTAAGTCCTATCAATAAGATTCAGTGGTGGAATCTAAAAGGTTAATGTTTAGTCATAGTTATCACTGAATGTAGTCAGCAATGCCTTACTATTTCCTTGTCTTCAGAACCGGGAAAAATGAAACTAGGTCAGTGTATATTTGTCATTACGGTTGTGACTCAGTTTACTGGCAGTGTGTGGTGTCTAAAAGAAAAAAAATCCCAATATCATTTTAGCAGTAATATTAATACTTATTTTTTGTGATACTGTGATCATGTAAACAAGTTAAATGCATGTCTGGCCTGATTCTCAGCTGGCATAAAAACTGACATTTGTCCGCTGAAGTTTGCAGACCACCACCCATCGCTATCGGCTCGGGCTGGTCAC